AGGGGGGGGGGGGGGGGGGGGGAAGATATATTTAGTACCTGGGCTGGTACATTTTCATGCTGATTTTGCATATCTGAAAGGCTACAGATAGCTTTTTCACCAAAACAGCAAATGTCAAAAGACAAGGAAAGAACCCCCCTCCCCACCCCCACTCCCTGAGAACAGCTTTTTTGCTGTGCATGAAATCACTGAACAGCAGGGAAAACCCATGCCTTGATCCAACCTCCCCACACCCCTTCCCCCTCCCATCAAGACCATTTCTGCTCACATACCCTGTAGGAATGAAACAGTTCAATGGCTCTGAGGACATCAAACTTCCGGGCCATGAGAAATTTGACAGCAACGTTCCAGGAAAGCGGAGACACATTGTACTGTCCAGTCCACTTGTTAATCTCTTCCAGAAACTGCTTGGTGGCCTATTTGAGAAAGAGACAGAGACACATGGTAAGAAGAGAGGGAACAGAAACTTACCAGTATTTATACATGTTAAATCCCAAGGCAAAGAAGTAATTTATTACACAAACTATTCCAAAGTCCAGTCTAACCCCATTTTGTATCTAAAAATGTACGCAGAACCAAATGAAGAGGTGATACATGATGGATAAAGGTGAAAACAATGAACTGGGAGCTGAGCTCCCAGGTTAATGCAAATCCCCAGCCAAAAGCAGCCTGTAAAACCAGAGAGAGAAAGACATGAGATGATTGGACGCTCTACAGGGCCACTGTATAGCAGGCTGTACCAATCACTGCAGCATCACTCTTCATCACCAACCCTGCCAGCCAATGAGACCAGTCAGAACAAACCAGTGCTCTCTGTAACTGAGCCATGAAAGAGCCAGGATCATTCACTGGTGCTCTGTGAGCTAAGGCATCCAGTTGCTATTCTCCTCTAATGCAAGCCTCCAAAACTGGTGCTGCTTGCTATGGCAGCTGAAAGAGGCACAGGGAGTGATAAGATACAGAGGTCATGGCTACCTGTGATCAGTTATACCCGCGTCCCTGGGCTGAGCCTGCAAAACCACTGTGCTTTGGAAGCCCACAGGGTGGCAATGCATTCAGCAAGGACGGGGACCTGCTGGACACCTGCTCAGAATGCCCTGGCAGGCCCCATGGTGGCTGGAGGCATTGCAGTCCCAGTCTCCTTCCCTTATCATCAGGGGTTATTGTTCTCAGCCATGCCCTGAGAGGCATGCCCCACCTCAAACCCAAGTTAATCTCCTTCCAACACTAACTTTGTGCTCTCATTACTACCCTAAATTATTTACTTCAAGGACACCAAAGTAAGGCAAAGCAACACAGCTAATGATGTTCCCAGCACTTTGCTCTGCTCTTCTCAGACATAAGATCCAAGAGTCCGTTGCATTCTCCTCTGCCTCAGGCTGCATTATTTATACGGTACAGGAAGGAAACACTCATTTCCATACAATAAATGTCAAATACAGGCTCCCCCCACACCATTCCCGCAGAGATTACAGTTTAAAGGCCAAAGCAGGCACAATCCAACACAACACATGCCACACATAGGGTAGGCTGGTAATTACTTGAAGGCTGCATGGAGCAATCGGGACCTTCCGTGGTAATGGAGGGAACTAGGCGTTTTCTGGTGGGAAGACTGCTCTAGCAGTCAGGTGAGGTAAGGGAGAGGCCACAAAGAGTGAAAACGTGGGACAATCAGGAGCAGTCAGGGCAGGGAGAGGGTGGAAACAGTGCCCGGCCACAGGCTGAGGGGGGACCTCTGGAGACAGGCCCCTGGCCACGAGGAGGGCACACACACAGGAATGGAAGAAAGGGCAAGGCCAGTGCAGAGACAAGAAAAAGGGAGGCTGGTCAGGGCAGAGGAGCTCTGGATGGGAGAAGGGTTATGCTGAGGGATGCTGCCAAGAATGAGAAGACAGGAGAGGAGGAAGTTGCAGGTATCAGGACAGTAAAGGATGAAACAACCCAGTGGCAGGGACTGAAAACGAGGGACAAAGTTGAAGCAAATGGCTTGGTAAAAGCCAAGAGGAGGGGCAGAAGACCCAAGACCTTGTGGGGAAGTAAAGGACAGTGCTTCTGGGTACAGGGGCAAAGACATGGAGCAGCAAGGAACTAAAAGCTCTAGGTAGGATATAGGAGTTTGAGGCTGCTGCAGCACATCCAAGGGTTGGGTTTAGCAGGAGTCCCTGCATGCCCATCAGAAGTATTTATATGGGGTTTGGGAGGCAAATCCCATAGGTATTTGCTTTTTAAAGATAACGAGACAACTGCTCAGAGCTGAGCGCCACATGGGCTTAAAAACCAGCTGCAACTAGGAGCCCCAACCCCAGGCATTCCTTCACTGAAAACCCGGCAGGAAGAGTGACAGACAGATGCACCATTTAAAAGGGTGGATGACAAAGACAGAGGCATCAGCAGAAGGTTTTACTAACCCTGTCCCCACCCTCTGAAACACCATGTTAACTGGGAACCAGTTAAACACCAAACCAGAGAAACAAGCTTGAGGGACTGAAACAACAAACATCAAAGTGACCGATGAGGGAAGAGGCCAATGCCTCTCTACAGCCAGAGGAGAAGCAGTCAGTAGCGGTCTGAGGATTGGACAGCACGGGCAAAGCGAACAAAGGAAGATGAGGGCAAGGAAGGAGGAAATAAAACTACAGCCAACACAGTGGGGCCAGATCCTGCTGCTTGCTACACCTCACATTGCCAGTGAATTCCACAAGCCCACGTGTCTGTAGCCCTGGGCCGGGGCTGTCATTTCCCCTGTGGGCTCTCCAAGATGATGGTTCACTTTTGTAGTCATAATATTTTTGCTGACCTCCTGATGAGCTTTTGCAAAGATCCCATAACAACAAAACCCCATGTTTTTTTGCTGTGAAAACACAGTGAAAAACTTCCACCCCTGCTGGGATGAAAATAATTTAATTTAAAAAATAAATAACTGACAATGTCTCAATGAAGAGAAACAAGAAAGATGCCAAGAGCCCTTTGGAGAATGTGGTATATTGCGCAGCATGAAAGAAGACTGCTTGGTTAATTTACACCATTGTCCTGCTTCAGGCTACATGAGGATGCCAATCCTCATGATTTTACTGCCAGGATCATGATATTTGGTGTCCTTCTTAAAGTACTAGCACCTGGAGTCATGTGAATATGGCTTTCATTTAAAAAGTTTCTAGATCTAAACACTGCAAGAGAAGTTTGGGGATGTGACTTCAAAACTTAAACAGATGGCAAATAAAAAGAACCCAAAATGCATTAGGGTCTGACTCATGATGACTTTTGAAACCCTGGGCTATTCACCAGAGAGACCACAAATGGTTTAACATCTTCAAAGCGGCCTAGGACCTGCTAGTGAATAAGGCACTGGACTGTTTTAGGGCTCCTGGGTTCTATTCCTGGCTCTGGCACTGACTTGATGCATGACCAAGGGCAAGCCATTTAATCTCCCTGTGCTTCAGTTTACCCTTACAATATGAACAGATGAGAGAGACAAAACATGGAAGCTCATTGCCACAGGGACTGATTCTTAAGAGGTGTCTGCACAGCCTCTTGCACAGTGGGGCACAGAGATTGAATATAACAATCTCATACTGCAATACAAACACTGAACAGCTGCACTTTAAAAAAAAAAAAAATACTAAGCAACTCTGAAAGCATCTCTAACTCCAGAGAAATAACAGTCTGAAGCTGCCTCCTGCTGGCCAGCCTGTTGCCCCAGCTCAGAATTTAGGAACCATTTTTACAGACTGGGCTGTACAGCAGGTAAATGAGCTAATCTACCATTGTAAATGGCATGGTGTTCATAGATGTGACAAATTTATTACCGCCCTCTCCCTAGACATTACTCCTGCTACTTCCTCTCTGTAGATGTTGCAGTTTCCCCTTAGAAGTGGATACAATTAGCCAAGTTCTGTGGGATAAGCAAGGACCTTACTCTGTATTTATACTAAAGCTGGCAACATTATGACAGCCTGAACAGGAACAATACAGGCAGTCCTCCACTTACAAGGTTTCAAGTTACATTTATAAATTGACACCCTGTTTCAACTTTCTGACCTCAGTTTTGACTTTACAAGGCTTGATCCGACGCCACGCCACATCAGTGAACAAGTTCGCTGCGTCACCCATCTCCCTGGAGAACATTTGTCCAAACTTCCTTGACCACTTTCTTTAAGAAAGCAGACGAGACTCCAGAAAAACCTGCAGCCAAGACTCCTGAGAAGACCCCAACCAAGAACCCTTCAAAAAGTCCAGCAAAGTCACCTCAAAGAAGTCCTTCCAAATCAATATAAATGCTATTTAAAATATAAATATATGAATGTAGCTATACTACTCATCTATAATTGACCGAGTATAAAATTCCTGGTTATTTTTGGTGAAAATAGGGCATCGGGCCTTGGTTCAGGAACCAATCCCCCATTATAACATTGTTTCCTATGGGAAAAAATCGGTTCCGAGTTACGTTTCGACTTAAGATGCATTTTTCAGGAACCAATTGTGTTGTAAGTCCGAGGACTGCCTGTACTGCCCCAGTGTCTGTGTATGTCACACAAAGGTGGCTACACTTCTTCCATTTTGGGAGCTTATCTGAACCAGAAGTAATATAGCATAGCACTGGGCATATGTCAATAGGCTCTGGCTCTTAGCAGAGCTTACTAGTGTGAACAGAGTTGCAGGATGGTGGCTACACTTCTGGTTTAGGAGATGAACTGTATCTCCTTTCTGGCTGTGCGATCTCACGATGGCACTCCCCAGAGCCCTAGCAAGGTGGTGCCTGTATTCCTCAGACAGAACTTTAAACTGGGACAGTTCTGAAGTAGTGCAAAGCATAATCACAGCATAGCAGCAGCTCATCAATGGGAGCTAGGAAACACAGGAGGCTGAGAAATGTGTTCTTTCCAAGCAGTTTTCTTCCCAAGATTTTCCCTCCTCCTCCCTCATTTTACGGGCTTCTACAACAGCCAAGAGGACATGCAGAAACAGAAGTAGATTTGAAAACTTTTAGATACTAGAAACATTAGTGAAGTTTCAACCTGGGAAAGAAAAATTTGGTCTAATGAATAATAAGAACCAAGTTATTGTTCCCAAATAGGTACAAATAATGAGAAGCAAATTATTGTTCCCAAATAGATGTAGAAATGCCTAGCAGGGAAACGGGCGACTCCACTGGTGACTGGAGAAAGGGGCGCAGTGAGGGGATAGAATCAAGGAAGGACAGGACAACTGAATATAGAACTGTGTTGGCCTTCAGAAGTCTTCCTTCTTGTACAAGTGGCTCAGTTTTGTTGGAGGGTGCAGAAAATAACATGTGGGCTCTGGGTCCACATAGAACAGAAAGGGAAGTAAGGAACTTCAATTGCATCAAGGGAGGTTTAGGTGAGATATGAGATAGAGCTTTCTAACTTTGAGGGTAGGCAAGCACTGGGACACAACACAGAGAGACTGTAGCAGTTTTAAGTGTAGGTCAGACAAACATTTGTCTGGGATGATTCAAACAGGGATAATCCAACCTTGAGCAGGCACTGGACAAAAGGGCTGGATTTGATGAACTCTTGAAGTCCTCTCTGACCCTATGTCTCTATGAGTCTATGTGAATGAACAGTTACTGGGTTTGGGCCTTAGTATGGTTGAGTTGAAAAATGCATAGCCCGGTAGATGCCCCAAAAGCAAATAAATTGGTAACAGGGACAAAGTATCCAAGACAGATGGAGAGAGCTAAACCTAACCAGTCAGTAGGCTGGGGATGTATTTCTTTTCTTTAAGAAACTGTAAGTTTGAACAGTGAGGAGCCTTGTACATCTGAAGAATAAATATGCTTGCAAAGTGATTCACATAGGACACCTTTTGTGTTTTTTTGTCATAAAACCTGTGAGATCCATGGTGGAAAACATAACGCTCTAAATCTTTAAAAAAAAAAATTAAATCTCCTTTAAAGCTCCCAGTCCAACAAGCCAACACACTAACTAGGATAAATCAGTCACTTTTACAAACTGGCAACCAAATGAACAATCAAGAACTGCAATCAGAGTTGAACAGCTCCAGCTTTTTGACTATTCATCTAATTTTCAAAGTCAGATTAGGGCCCAAGTTAGTTTATAAGAAAGGGTTTTGAACCAGCACAATTGCAAAATTGCACACTTCTGTCAATGGAAGTGCCCTGGATTTTCATTGGCTTTAGCTCTGCATCTTCCAGTGTCTCCTTTGGCATTGGCACATTTAAGCCTGGGTCAGCAGCAGAGAGGATTAGTGCTACACTCCTGAGTTTCCTTGCAGCATGAAAACCTGATTGAGGATGCAAGTTGTCTATGTACCTAGATAATGAAGCTACAGGAGCAGGGCAGTGTAAAGCACATTATAACCACACATTCAGCATAGGACATAACACACATTAAATAAAACTCTGAAGGGAAAAAATAATTCCCAATAAAAGGAAATTAAATGCTTTTCAATTTTTTTTTCATTCACAGAACCCAGGGGCAAGCCAAAAGCTTACAAACACTTTATAAAGCTAAATCTTTGAAATTCATTTCCTCTTTTACTTACCTGCCAAGACCCAAGGTTCACTGCTCTGTTGTTTCCCAGGCAGGCACTGGCGACAAGGGAAACCCTTCCAAGCAGGCAGCCTAAGAGAGGACTGCTCCTTGCTGCAACTTGGACATCTGCGTTCACAGGAACAACACAGGCCTCTCTCAACAAGGGTCTTGACAGGTTAAACTCAATGTTTTCGTTTCTTTTTTACAATGCCTTTATTTGTGCTTTTAATGCCCCACACATATTGTGTGAACAACTGCAAGCCAAATTCTGATGTGAGCTATGTGATTACAATTCCCACTCAAGTCAATGAAAGCTGACTGCACTTAGCAGAAGACAGAATTTTACTGGTTTGTCTGTGCAAGGAATGTGCCCGTTTGATCACCCAAGTGACTTCCAATAATCTAAGCCAAAATTTCAAAACATAGCTCTTAACTAGTGCACAGCCAGACAACTCCAAGGAGCTCCTAATCATAGTAGTGTCAGAGAGGACCCAACTAAGAACAGTCTCACCATGCTAGGTGCTACTTAGACACTCGCTGCCTTGGCAACTTCATAATCCAAGCGGCCAAGACAAACCAATAGTACAACAGGGTAATTTGTGCTAGGTCACAATCAGGATGGTTGCGAAGTGAAATAGAAACCAGGTCTCTTGACTCCCAATCCAGTGCCTTATCCGGTAGCACCCATCATCTAAAAAGTGTTTCTTACGTTTTCCCCACAGTAGCTAAACTTCATTTTAAACAGTTTATTGTATTTGGGGTTAAAATGCCTTCCAGCTTAACTTTCTGGGCACATACAATTCCAGCTAAGTGTGCCAGCACAGATCCACCTTTAAATGCAAGCAGGCCTGCACACATCAGCATAAAACCAAACTACCCTTTGGGTAAAAAGAAACCCTGAAAGAGCCAGAAGGATTAAGACAGGCTTAATAAAGAAGAGTATTAATCAGATTATAAAGGGTTAAATATAATGGGTGGGGATAGAGAATAAAAGATTCTGCTTTTTAAAGTTGAACTTCTCTCTCACTCCACTTTCAATTATTGGCCTTTTTATGGACTGCCACGCCAAACAGCAGATGGCAGAGCATGATGTCTTTTGTAGTAAAAAAACAAAATTAAGATTAATATTCTCAATTCACCTCCCACATTTTTACAGCTGTTAAATAGCATGCAGTAAGACAACTCCAAGGAGCTCCTAGCTCCAGTAAGACCTATCTTTTCTAATGCAACGTAGCTCTCAGACTGTCCCACGGTACTGGAAGCTCAGAGTTCCTTAGGATTTTCCTCCTCCATGTTTTGAACTCCTGATGAGAGAGAGATAGAGAAGAAAAGAAAGAGAGAGAGAGACTGTGAGACAGACAGAGAGAAAGACTGGCATGGCTACTGCCTCAAACAACTTCTTGCTTCAAAAGGTGCACACACAAAGGATGCTCTCACAATGCTGCTGACCCCTTGGCTCCAGCACACAGGCCATCTGTCTGGTGGTGGTGTGTTTTCTTCACCTATTTAGGATTCAAATATGCTTCCTCCTCCCCCGCCCCACCAGACAAACCCCAGCAGAAAGGACACAGCCAAACAAACAGGCATAATGAACTGAAGTCACCCATCCCAAGACAGCAAACAGGAAGAGCCATTCCGAAATTAAGGAATTTTCCATGATACCAAGCATTGTGCAAGAACAACAAACACCGCAAGAAATAAATAAATCAATCAATCAATAAATAAATAGAGAACAAAAAACAGTTAATGCCGGCTTTCAAGTACTAACATCACAGAGGGAACAGGAAAAAATTTGGACGCTTGAGGCGGCGGTGTAGCGTGTCAGGCAGCTCTGGAGAGCCTGAAAGCCCCAGACTGACTGGAATTATTCTGAGCTATTCAGCATGAAAAGCTCCTCAGCGTTAATGACTTCCTACAGGAGGAAGTGAAGGGCCTGAGTTTATCAGCACTTCACCAGCCATGTGTGACTGGCCCAGGCTGGGAAAATGTAGGGCTCTGAAGAAAAGCCTGACATCATTCCCAACATAGCTGAAAGGGCACCAGGAGGGCAAGACCGCTGCTCTTGCAAGGAAACCAGGGTCCTTCCATTTTCACTTCCCTGCTTTACCCTGCTGAAGTTGTTTGCTTAACAAGGCAGCAGGACCCTTGGCTTTTTAGTTATCCATAAGCACAGCTGCTCCTACGGCAGTGGTACACAGAGAATACTCTGTGTACATGCTGCCTTTTAAACAAGCACACTGGAGAGGAAAATGCTCCTTCCCCCTCTCCACCACTTGCCCAACCCACCTCCCTTCCCTACTCCCCCCAGGGCTGGCAAAAGCATAGCTTTAGTGTAGACATGGTTGTTATTTTCACTGAACCACTGCCCAGACTCCAACCAAAACCAGGTCCCTAATGAACAGCTTTATAACCACGAGGGTAGTTAAAGGCCGGAACAGATAATTAGAGCAAGAGGGTGGAGTCTCCATCACTAGACATTTTTGAGCACGGCTTAGACAAGCATTTATCTGGACTGCTTTAGACAGTGATGATTCTGCACTAGCTAACCTCCTGAGGTCCCAGCCAGCCCTATCTTTCTGAGAGTACTGGCCACCATACAACCAAGGCTGCAACTTTACGATACAGTGGTGTTCAGTCATGGGGCTGGTCTATAGCAAAGCTCCTTCTGCTCCTGTCAGCCATGGAGCTGTAGCAGTATTAGCACCGGTGGGAAGTCTCTCCCTTCTGTGTAGACATAGGTCACAGGACCTGTGTCCACCTAAGTTCAGGTGCCTGTGTGTCCCACAAACCCGTGTGGAAGCCATGCTAGAATGCTGCCCTTCTGGCACTGAAAGAGGACTCCAGCAGCAAAAATTTCCTCGCAATCAGTTCATATCAAAGCTGGCTGGGACTCCAGCAGCTAGCACTTTTCAGAAGAGCAACTAGTCCATAGCAGCTAACCCCCCAGGACTCTGGAGCTTTTCCCAAACAGTGCTGTGAGCTAGGACCTTCCCCAAAAGATTCTGGCAGTGCCCCGGTCAGCACTGACCAAGATTTCAGGTTGAGCCCAAGCAGCCTGTAACCTGCCATCCTAAATACGCTTTCAATAACAAGAAGTCATTCCTCTAGGGGATGCTATTTGCAATGGTGTCACATGCTTGATGGTCCTCTTTCCATCACTTGTCTTTTAATGATGCATGTTTTTATTTGTGTTCCCTCAGGGAGCTGGGGTGGTGCTGTCCTTCCTTCCTGCAAACCCCCTACACCTCCTCCAAAATTATCTCAGCTGAACCCTCAAGCTAGAGACCCCAGGGACGCAAACAGGTGGTAAGCAGCACATTCTAATGCAATTATTAACACAGGCACATCCTGTTTCCAGCAGATGGTACTTGCGTTTGGGACACTGAGTGCCCAACTACATAAGCAGAAAGAAGGGAGAGGGAAGGAGGCAGGAAAAAGGGAAGCTTGAATTCTTCCCACTGGACAGGCAACACAACAAAAGCTGGCAGCACAGCTGACCAACCCCAACCATCCACAGAGATATCAGAGCACCTCAGCCGTATCAGATGAGGCTTCTACCTTAACCCCGACCAGCTTGGAGCTTGCTCACAGAATTACCTGAAATTTGTCACACAAGGAGCTCAGCTCAGAAGAGATTTCTTGAATCCCAACCCCCACCCCCAAAAAGTTTGCAGAAAGCACATTTAGTTATTTTGGAGCTATCTGTGTGTGTGGGAGGGGAAAAAAATGACACTTTTCAGCCATGAAGAAAACAGATGTTTTGGATCTGGATTACTCACTTAGCCCAAGTCAGTAACACCATGGTTGCTTAAACATTTGTTTGGACCTCTGTTCCTTCACTGAGTGGAAGAGGACAAAGTTAGCTTTGAGTGTCCTCTGCTGAATTTCATGGATGTAGTGAGGGCCCATCCAGTCCTTGATGCCAGTTAGAATAGCCTCAGAGCTGCTCATATTTATGTCTAGGTCAGTAGTTCTCAACCTCTGTAGATTCAAGCAGCACTGTGTAAGGTTAGACTCAAGGCCCCTCTCAGAAAATCCCAGCTCTTAGCTTGCTCTCATTTCTTGACTATAGAAAAACAGAGTACTTCTGCTGCAAAGAACTCTGAAAAACCACAACAGGCCTGAATGTTTTTGACACTACAGAATCCTACCTGAAGTCTCTGGCAGGGGGCTGGACCCGATGATCTTATGAAGTCCCTTCTGGCCCTAATGTCTATGGAACCCATGAAATCTCTGGATTCATCTTGTGAGGCATGTGTAGGTGTTTGCACATCCAACAGTGTGGATGCTGTGTGGCACCTTTAGAAGGATTTTGCAGCACCCCAGGGAGCCACACCACTATGATTGACAACCGCTGCCCTAGACTCTGGGTGGGAATAGTCAGCAAGCACTATGCTCTGTCCTATCTTTGTCCTTCCACCCCCTACTCTCTAGCACTGCAGGTCATGGAGAGGAGGCAGCACAGAGGTGCTAAGATGATTCAGTACCAAGTAGACAGCCCTCTGCACCATGGATAATCCCTGGGGGGTTGAAGAAGACAACAGGGCTCTTCAAACACAGAGTGCTCACAGCAGGGATTTGTACTTTTATTTTGCACAATGCACCTTGGGCACTCTCTCAGTAAGACACAGATGCATTACATTCCCCCCACCCACCCCAAGAGAACCCCCCCACCAGCAGAATGCATGTACTCAGCTTATATAGAGTCCAGGATCACATCTTATCTAGAACAGCCTGTGCTGTTCAATCATAACCACCAATGTGAAAGATGCATGGCCCACACCAGAGGGTAGTGCCATGCCTTTGATTTACAAAAGGTAGCTTTAGAAATTATACTACAATTGAAAAATAATTTTCTGAGAACACTCAGCATCATACTTTCTTTGCTGAGCTAAACACATGCTGATGCATAATATTCAGAACAGCTAAAGGGGAAAGATATTTGCAAAGGATCATTCTCTTAGCTGCCTGCAGTTACAATTGATGGGGGGAGGCAGCTGAAATCAAGCAGAGCTCTCTCAGTAGCCAGAAACTTATTTTATACAGGGAGAACTTTCTGCTTGCCATAATAAGTCTCTCTAAATCTTCAGTCAATCTCCAGCACAGTTGTTGAAAAGGGAAATATTTATGCACATGAGGCCAATTAACTTAGGTGATGAATGGGGGGGGGGTCTCTCTCTCAGAAAGATTGGGACTTTTTGCTGTATAGCAACTTGCGTAACAAAATCAGATGATATAGCACATGTACGAGTGCATCCTGGAATGAATAAATTCTGGGATTCTCAGAGGAACTCAGTTGAGTAATTTCTGAGAAAGGAATCAGTGCTCTCCATTCCCAGTAGATAAGGTCATCACAAGACACCCTTGTTGGCCAGCTCACTCAAGAAGGAGTGAATGGTGGTGGAAGCTGAACTACACACCCCTGCTTCTCCAGAGCTGATCCCTCCAGGTCTACAGGAAATCTTACATTACCAGTGACTCCATTGTACTATCTTGGTTCTGTAGGAGGAACAGAGGATTTAAATGCCAGCATTTAAATGGCAGCTGGGTTTAGGCCCTGCTTTAATGGAAAATATTCACAGAGAAAGGAAGCTGGGCACATTCACCTTTTGCACTGAATGTGTTAAGGCAGGGATTCATAACATTTTGTTCATGGGTGCATAACAAAATATATGTTCAATGTAGGTCACAGAACAGGCCTTTACATACACAAAAAGAAGAATCCAGTGTCACTCACTGCCAAACTCAAATGACTACTGAACACTCAATACCTACAGTCTTGCTGATCCGCTGCTTCTATCAAGGATGGCCACCATTAAATGTCCCTTTGCAGATCCCAGGTGCATACTTTTTGGCCACAAGTAGGCAATGGGTCACCCTTTGCAAATGCCTGGTTACAAGTTTACTAATGATAGCAAGGCGGGTTGGCCTGTAGCTCAAACAAGCAGGCCAACTGCTGCGAAAAGCAGAGATCTCAGTGCAATTGCTGGCTGAAACAGATCCGTTTCAGCTAAGGATATAATTCTTTGTTAGACGTCTGTGTAGAACTTCTACCCTTTTCCTATCATGCTTTGCCATTTGTACTCATTATTGCCAGGAAACAGTCTCTCCATGAGTGTTATGGCTTTCAAAACCGCACACTCTATAGTTCTGGAAGCATCACCCCCCTTTCATTAGGACTTCTG